TGCCCTCCATGATTGTCACGTCTTCCACGATTGTCATGCCCTCCACGATTGTCATGCCCTCCATGATTGTCATGCCCTCCATGATTGTCATGCCCTCCATGATTGTCATGCCCTCCATGATTGTCATGCCCTCCATGATTGTCATGCCCTCCATGATTGTCATGCCCTCCATGATTGTCATGCCCTCCATGATTGTCATGCCCTCCACGATTTTCATGCCCTCCACGATTGTCATGCCCTCCACGATTGTCATGCCCTCCACGATTGTCATGCCCTCCATGATTGTCATGCCCTCCATGATTGTCATGCCCTCCATGATTGTCATGCCCTCCATGATTGTCATGCCCTCCATGATTGTCATGCCCTCCACGATTGTCATGCCCTCCATGATTGTCATGCCCTCCATGATTGTCATGCCCTCCACGATTGTCATGCCCTCCATGATTGTCATGCCCTCCATGATTGTCATGCCCTCCATGATTGTCATGCCCTCCATGATTGTCATGCCCTCCATGATTGTCATGCCCTCCATGATTGTCACGCTCTCCAAGAACACTTGGGCAAAATAAGTGTATGGAGCACCACTTAGCAAATGGAATTTAGTGTGAATAAATGGCATGCTATAGAAAGGGGAATAGGAGAAAAGAGACCCCACACAACCTACAAATTATGTGAAAAGGATATAGAAAACTTGTGTTAAAGAAAGAGATCTAGGAGTGGTTCTAGACAGAAAATTGTTACCTGAAGACTGCATAAAGAACATTGTGCAAGGAGCTTGTGCTACACTTTCCAATTTCAGAATTGCTTTTATATACATGGATGGTGAAATAGTAAAGAAATTGTTCACAACGATTTTGAGACCAAAGCTAGAATATGTTGTAGTTGTATGGTGCCCATATCTTAAAATAAACCCGATCAACAAACTGGAAAAGGTGCAAAGACATGCAACTAAATGGGTCCTGGAACTGAAAGAAAAGAGCTACGAAGAGAAGTTAGAAGCATTAAATATGTAATATATATATGTAAATATACAAAATAGTAATGGGAATCCATAAAATTGATGGGGAAAGAATTTTTGAGACCTAGAACTTCAAGAACAAGAGATCATAGATTTAATGTTGGTGAGAAGAAATGTGGCTACTGGTCTGTGGTCCTATTATTGGTGATCTCTGAAATAAATGGAGAGGTTATGTTTGTCTAGATGTGGTCAAGAGTAGAGACAGCTGTTTCAGTAATTCTAGTAGGTTTAGTGATCAAGGGGATGAGGAAGCAGGAGCAAATGAGCATGACTTCACAGCTGTCACTGCACCACTGTCTGTGCAGCTCCCCTCTTCCTGGGAGGGGGAAGTGGGAGCCCAGACCTCTGATGTGCCAGCTATCGACACCGTCAGTTTTCGACTGATGTGTGACCTGGCAGGTCGTGCGACTCTGGCTCCGAATCCTTTCAGTGCTGTGTCTTGTGGTGTGGTCCTGTCTCAGTGGTGGTGGTGGTGTGAGCCAGGAGTAGTTTCAACTGTACTGAGGTTGCATGTGCCTAGGGTTACTTTCCCTAGGTGCCCTGTAAGTACTACCCTTGTGGCTTTGGAGTTGCCTTACACAAGTTGCTTGGGGGCTGCCTCCACTGTGGTCTTTTGCTGCTCAGTGATTGCCCGCCCCTTGGGGTCAGCTGGGGTGTTTCATGCACCACTGTTTGTCTCTGGGTGGGAGATAGCATTATCACTGGTAGGGGCGCGAGGTACTGTGCAGCTGTTCTTCACCCGACATAGCAGCCGGCTCTGTTTCCGACTAAGTACGTTATGCTCGTACGGGGTTTCTTTTGTTTTTGTTTTTCTACCCGGTGGAGGGTCTGCCTTTGGTCTCGGTTCATTCCCCTGTCCACAGAATGGACGGTCGACATCGACTCGTTCAGTTGGCTCTTCCGGAAGTATGGGCTCCTGGAGGTGGACCTCTTCGCTTCGGCGTGGTTTTAGTTTCGTACTATGTGGGGTTTGTTTTGTTATGCCTTCCTTTCTGGGTGCCTAACCCTGGTCAATGGCAGATAAGGAAAACCTCCAACCACAGGGGGGTTTTCCCGGACCATTGCTTCCTGAAACCTCTCTGAAGGGGCCAGGTTCTGGCTCATGGTCCCTGGTAGGCCTGAACTCCATAGCTAATGTCCCGGTCTAATGTAAAACACATTAGCCCGATAAGCTCCAGTGAGCCTCCGGAGCTGACCCAGAAAATGGTGTTTCGTTACATTCAATGCTGGTTTTTTGCACTTGTGTGGCGCGGGGTACTGTGCAGCTAATTTTCACCTATTAAAGCGGTTCGTTCTGTTCCTCCTGGGTCCGCTATCCTCTTGCGGGGTTTTCCTTTTATTTTTGTTTTGGCCTGGTAGGGGGGTCTGCCTTTTGTGTCCCTTGCCCCTGTCGGTTTGGATTTTGATCTCCTGTGTTCGGTGGTGCCTCCTGTTACAGCCCCGTGAGTGGATACGGCCTGGTGGTTCAGCTTTAGCAGTTTATTGGTAGTATTGGGCGCCAGTTAGCAGTACCCCGCCTGGGCTTACCCTTAGGGACCCTGGGAATCCCAGGGACCCAGGGACCAGTCTAGGGGTCCAGTCCCAGGGACCAGTCTAGGGGCCCTGGGAATCCCCCATGGGGATGCACGGAGTCTGATTAATGCGACCCCTGGGGTCTCCTCTCGCTTTGTGCGAGTTTGAGGGTTGCTCTGTCTCCTTGTATCACGGCTACGCTCATTGTTTTTGCCTCCGTTATGCTGCCTGTGGGATCAGTGACACCTTCAACCTTGAGTCCTGTGAGCACTGTTGTTTGTCTGTGACTAATTTCACCCTATCAACTGATGACTTTATTTGGGTGCAGATGGCTCAGGCGTTGCATGCTCAGCATAGGTTACTGCAATGTTCTTGGTTGGTTGCTTCCCCGGATGCCCCGCTTGCTTTACAGGGACCCGGACTTGGGGAGTGTTCGTTGCTTTAGCCTAGGTTCGTCAGCACCCCCTCGTTCTTTCCCTGCTGTGGTTCATTGCCCCCCCCCCCCATTGGGCAGGGTTTAGAGGTTCTGAGAGACTGGCAGTTTCGGGGGTTGCCCCTTCCGGGGTGGCAACAGAGGCGTTCGAGTCCATTCCTGCAGCCATAGTGCCGGAGTCTGACCAGTGGGCCCCTTGTCTTCCTGCTTTTCTGGCTGCCCCGGCTTTTTCTTGTAAGGCCGGGGCTTTGGAGGATGACTCACCCCCGTGGCCTGGGAGGCCCAGGGTTCCCGGGGTTGGGAAGGAGCTAACTTGAGGGCCTTGGGCCCCATTGGACCCCACCTAGGTTTTTCAGCCCTCTGAGCGGGGCTTTCGGTTACAAGGTGTGGGGTTTTCCTTATCCCCCCCTCTGTGTATGAGTTCTTTTGGGTGTCAGCCCCACCCCGGGTTTGGTTCTGTGTCCCTTTGGGTCTGTCGGTTCCGTCCTGCCGGTGTGTGATTTTCATCACTTTCTCACCCTTCTTTTCTAGGACATGTATTTTTCTCCATCATGTCGCAATCATGTTCTCCTCGTATCAGGTTCCTGCATGACTATTGGTTTCGGATGCCGCTGAGCCCATATGAGCCTCCTTGATTTTATGCTTGCTTCTCCAGGATCTCATAGGTTCGGGAAGATCTTCGATACTTCCCATATTATTGGAACGTCTGTCGACTTCTGGTGAGGCTTCCCTCCAGTCCTTTATAGGACTGGTTGGTCCTATTCTGTCCTACTTATCGGTTTTCGATAGTATATCTACTTATTTTATAATTAAATCTTCTCTTGGTGCTCTGTCTCGACATTGCTATTAATCATTACATACACCTGGTTGGCACCCTCCCTGCCAGGCAGGTAGTGCGACTCGGACCTCATGCGTCCTGCGCATGCGGCGAGGGTGATTGTTTTGTTCAATCGTCTAAGAAACTTAGATGATTGTCATGCCCTTCAAGAAGACTGAAAATTAGTACATGGAGCACCACTTGGCAAATAGATTTAATGTGAATAAATGTCATGTTATGGAATGTGGAATAGAACATAGACCCCACACAACCTATAAATTATGTGAGAAATCTTTAAAAAATTCTGATAAAGAAAGAGATCTAGGAGTGGTTCAAGATAGAAAACTGTCATCTGAGGACCACGTAAAGAACGTTGTGCGAGGAGCCTATGCTATGCTTTCTAACTTCAGAATTGCTTTTAAATACATGGATGGCAAAATACTAAAGAAATTGTTCATGACTTTTGTTAGGCCAAAGCTAGAATATGCAGTGGTTGTGTGGTGCCCATATCTTAAGAAGCACATCAACAAACTGGAAAAGGTGCAAAGACATGCTACTAAGTGGCTCCCAGAACTGAAGGGCAAGAGCTACGAGGAGAGGTTAGAAGCATTAAATATGCCAAAACTAGAAGACAGAAGAAAAAGAGGTGATATGATCACTGCATACAAAATAGTAACAGGAATTGATAAAATCGATAGAGAAGATTTCCTGAGACCTGGAACTTTAAGAACAAGAGGTCATAGATTTAAACTAGCTAAACACAGATGCCGAAGAAACATAAGAAAATTCACTTTCACAAACAGAGTGGTAGACGGTTGGAACAAGTTAAGTGAGAAGGTGGTGGAGGCCAAGACCGTCAGTAGTTTCAAAGCGTTATATGACAAAGAGTGCTGGGAAGACGAGACACCACGAGCGTAGCTCTCATCCTGTAACTACACTAGGTAATTACACTTAGGTAATTACACTTAGGTAATTACACACTGGGTACTTTTCATACAAAACTAATGTGCAGTACATGGGTTAATGGCTCACCATTTCTTAGATACAAAGAAAACATCATTACGCATGGATTTTGTTTGTTTCTCCATTGTAATGTGTTGTAATACTCAGTGGCCCAAATGTGTGGAAAACCGATATTGCACAGATTCTACTCAATGTTATAAATTAAGGTTATCATAGGAAAGAATGTTAATAATTCAATTTGCTTTTTCTTGTTTCAGTTCCACTTCATGTATTTTGCAACATTATTGTTTTGGCTGACAGTGGTAATATCCATTATCATCTCAATGATCACCAAGCCCCCAGAGAGTTGGAGGGTAAGTATTTCTGCCACTTCACAAATTTTTGCCAAATGTACTCATCACTAGTATGGTAACTCCCCAGTGCTACAAGCTAGTAGCAACTAAGCCTTGAACACACCACAGGAACAAATCCACAAGGGTCGTGACGAGGATTCGAACCTGCGTCCGAGAGCATCCCAGACACTGCCTTAATCGACTGAGCTACGACATGGAAAAAGAGTTGAAACCGAAGTTCTACTGAAAGTAAGTTCAGAAGATCTTCGGTTTCAACTCTTTTTTTTTTTTCCATGTCGTAGCTCAGTCGATTAAGGCAGCATCTGGGATGCTCTCGGACGCAGGTTTGAATCCTCGTCACAGCCCTTGTGGATTTGTTCATTTGAGGCATCACACAATTGTGATTTCTGTGTGTAGACCACAGGAAACCAGGAGTCAGGACCAGAGCACACTTAGAGGCACTCGCCCTTCACTAGGCGGTGTCCCGGTAACCCAGAATCACAGTCGGACAGTCATCACACTCAAAATAATAATAATTTATGAGTCACTCAGAACCAACCTCTCCCTGACCCCATGGAGAAGGAAGGCACAGGATGGGGCACAGGGGTGAGGACATAGCTACAGATTACCCCACCAAACCACAGGCAGTTAATTACATTCAATTCTGGATTTCTGCAAGGTCTTACTCAGTAGCGTCCCGATGTTATCTCACAACAAAGCATTGTCTGAACATGGAAAACTTCACTATATACAGTACAGTGGTACCTCCATTTACAGATTTAATCCATTCCCAGAGACAGGTTGTAACTAAAAAATTCATAACTCGAAAAGAATTCTCCCATAAGAAATAATGTAAATTGAATTAATCCCTGCCACAGTCCCAAAAATATTAACTTCAAAATACATTTATACATAATACACACACATATTTTGTACCATAGTATGTACAAGTGATATCTTACCTTTATTGATGACTCCTGTTGGTGTATGGAAGACAGTGAGTGGGGGGAGGGGGAGGTGGAGAGGTGTTACTGTTTGGAATATGGAAGGGGAGTCCCCTTCCATTATAACATCAGGCAGTGATGACTTCTCTGGGGTACACTCTCTCCTATGTTTTGCCTGCATCCCACTGGACCTGGTTGTGGCTCACTGCTTGTTTTTCTCACTAAGAACCTTTCCATAGAGACTTATTTTCCCTAGGTTTTAACATTTGTCTGTAATGAGGCATCAGTGTCATTGAAAAAGTTAAGGCAACGGCCTACTTCAGCTTGATTAGGGCGAGTCACTTCAACAAGTGACTTTTGGACCTGTAGATTCGTAATCCTCATCCTGGAGACATTCATGTATCAACACGTTAAACAAGCTACGAAGATGAGGGAAGAGGATGTTCCTTCCATGCTGGATTTGAAATTCATCAGGAAAGAGGAAGAGATATTTGACATTCAGTATCTTCTTTTCCTTGGGCAAAAAGTTCATGGGCAAAACATGTTCTTTTGGGCATAAAGTTTGCAATGCACTATAATCTAGAAGAGAGTGAGGAAGATGAAGCAGTTGAAAAATTTAATTTTAGGAGAGGATATTATGGGGCTCTTAGCAAGTTCTTTAATGAATTTGATTGGAAAGACTTGCTGTTAAACAAGGAAGTAAATGAGATGTATGTCAAGTTTTGTGAAACACACGATTAAGGCACAAGCAAAAATTATGGCATACCAAAACAGAGATGCAGAACTAGGAAATAAGATTCATTTAACAGAAATTGCAAGAGGGCCAGAGACCAAAAGACATAAAAATGGAATCAATATAGGAAGAGGCCAACTCCTCAAATTTACCAGCAATACAAAGAAGCACAAAACAACAACACAGAAGTGAGAAGAGAGGAGGAAATAAATTTTGAGAAAGGGATAAAGGACAAATGTAAAACAGAACCAGGTGTATTCTCTAAATTTATTAAATGTAAATTGCAAGTAAAGGGTAATGTTCAGAGGTAGAAAATGGGAAACAGATTCACAAAAAATGAAAGGAAAATGTGTGAAACATTAAATGAACAGTTCCAAAGTGTGTGTATGTAAAATGAAATTTTCAGAGTCCGACACAATAAGAATTCCAGTGAACAACATAAAGCACTTGGAGGTGTCTAGAGATGAAGTGGGGAAAAATGCTCAAGGAGCTAAGTAAGAACAAAGCGGTAGGCCCTGGTGGAGTTCACCGTGGGTTCCGAGGTAATGCGCATCTGAGCTCGGCATTCCATTTAAATTGATTTTTCAGGCACCTCTGTGTACTGGAGTCCTAGCAGATACAGTACAGGGTGTATGAAAAAAGGCTAACATAGTTCCAATCTACAAAAGTGGCAGCAGGAAAAACCCCTTCATTATAGACCTGTATCATTGACAAGTGTAGTATTCAAAATATTGGAAAAAATAACTAATGGGTAGAATACCTGGAGAAAAATTATTTAATAAGACATTATGGTTTTTTATCTGGAAGATCCTGTATAACGAATTTACTTTGTTTTTATTATAGAGCCATAGAGATTTTACAGGAAAGAGATGGTTGGGTTGACTGCATTTATCTGCTCATGAAAAAGGCTTTCGACAGAGTCCCACATAAGAGGTTGTTCTGGAAACTGAAACATACTGGAGGAGTGACAGGACGGCTTCTAAGATGGATGAAAATTTTTCTAACCAATAGGAAAATGAGGGCAGTAATCAGAGGCAATGTATCAGACGGGAGAAATGTTACAAGTGGAATACCACAGGGTTCAGTTCTTGTACTGATAATGTTCATTGTCTACATTAATGACCTACCAGAAGGAATACAGACTTATATAAACATGTGTTTTGATGATGTTTAGGTACTAGGGAAGATAAGAAACTTAGACAATTGTCATGTCCTTCAAGAAGACCTGGACAAAATAAATAGGGCACTACTTGGCAAATGGAATTTTATGTGAATAAATGCCATGTTATGGAATGTGGAATAGAAGAAAATAGACCACACACAACCTTCAAATTAAGTGAAAAACTTTAACAAATTCTGATGAAGAAAGAGATTTAGGGGTGGTTCTGCTGTAGATAGAAACTGTCAGCTGAGGACCACATACAAAAACATTGTGTGAGGAGCCTAGGTTATCTTGAGGTTATTTTGAGATGATTTTGGGGCTTAGTGTCCTCACGGCCCAGTCCTTGACCAGGCCTCCTTTTTTTATTACACCCTCCCCAGGAAGCTGTCCATAGCAGCTGTTTAACTCCCAGGTACCAATTTACTGCTAGGTAACAGGAACATCAGGGTGAAAGAAACATTTTGCCCATTTGTCTCCGCCTCCACCAGGGATCGAACTCGGAACCTCAGGACTACGAATCTGAAGCGCTGTCCACTCAGCTGTCAGGCGTCCTATGAACGAGAGAGAAAAGCAAGTACACAAGAAGGGTCAGATGTGTAACATAACAATCTGTGCACCACCTCTAATGGGAAGACGCCTCCTCTAGCCAAACACAGCACCTCACCTACACCAGTAGGACAGCCAACCGTCACTGAATAAAGCCTCCTACCACAGACTAAAACTCACCAACAATGCCAATAAGTTCCACTTCAAGATCAATATGTGATGCCAACTCAATTCTTATAAAGAAAGAGATCTAGGGGCAGTTCTAGATAGAAAACTATCACCTGAGGACCACATAAAGAACATTGAGTGAGGAGCCTTTGCTATGCTTTCACATTTTTAAATATTAAATTCCAACTGGAAAAGATCATCAGGGTAAATGGGGGGGAACCTTTAACAAGCCGCTGGTTTCCAGTCCTCGTTGAGGCCACTATTGTTAGTGGCCATCAGGTAAATTCAGGTAAATACATTAACTATGCCAAAGCTAGAAGATAGATGAAAAAGGGGCAATGTGATCACTATTACAAAATAGTAATGGGAATCGACAAAATTTATAGGGAATAATTCCTGAGACCTGGAACTCAAGAACAAGAGGTCATAGATTTAAGCTAATTAAGCAAAGCTACCAAAAAAAATATAAGAAAATTAGCTGTTGCAAACAGAGTGGGTAGATGGTTGGAACAAGTTAAGTGAGAAGGTGGTGGGTAGAACCATCAGTAGTTTCAAAGCGTTATACGACAAATAGTACTGGGAAGACAGGACACCACAGGCATAGCTCTCATCTTGTAACTACACTTAGATAATTATTCGTCTATATTAAAAAGCATTTGACAGTCTTCCGACCATTTGTTGAGTTCGTGTAGATCTCTTTTTGAGGCCTTGGTATCATTTTCATTCCTATTTTACCATACATCTTAATGTCATCTCAAATTTGATGTGAAATTGGGCACTTCATACTACCAGACCGAGACGAGAATTTAACCTCAACGAGGTTGACTGCAGTAAGTAGAGGGAGGCCATTCTGACATCCCAGACTAGGCCTAACTAAGTCAAACTTCCTGCAGTTGACACTGAAACTCAAAGAAAAAAAACTTGATCCTTTGCTAGCAGACAAGCGAATTGACTGAGGAACCTAAACCAGCCAGTTGCGGAGATAGGCTAAAACCCAGATTTCCCATAAGGTGAAGACATTAGAGCACCATGTGAGTCAATCTAGTGAAAATTCCTAAGTAGCAGTTTCAACCCAAATGAGAGCCCAAAGAAAGGGTATGAGAGGTGCCCCACTATGAAACAAGACCTATCCCTGAACTCCTGATATAATTATAATCGATTGTAATCTTTTTTATTATTAAAAATTTGCATTATTATTATTATTTGTTCATTAACAAACAAAAGGAAATTGTACATTTCTTAACCATTTGGTAACTTTATAAATGTTTAATGCATTATTAATTTTCTTCACCAGGTAATTAGAACAACTTTCATCACTCGACATGACCTGGCTGAACGAGAGGATGAGATGGAGCTGAAGGAGAAGGCTCGTAATGGACTCCTGCATGATAAGCCACAAGATATAGGTATATGAGTATTCTTTCTTACTTTTTGCAATTTACAACTGATTTACTTATTTTTTAATACTGTATATACTATCTTCTTGAGATGATTTCGGGGCTTTAGTGTCCCCGCGGACACTAAAGTGTCTCCACCCCCAGGAAGCAGCCCGTGACAGCTGACTAACACCCAGGTACCTATTTTACTGCTAGGTAATAGGGGCATAGGGTGAAAGAAACTCTGCCCATTGTTTCTCGCCGGCGCCTGGGATCGAACCCAACACCACAGGATCACAAGTCCAGCGTGCTGTCCGCTCGGCCGACCGGCTCCCTACCCTCAAATTATACTGCATATCATTTATGGTGGGAAACTGTGAAATCATGGAGAAAGTGTCTCACCTACTACGGGGTTGCTAAATGATAATACAAATCCTTCCACATTATAAAAGTATCATAAGAAAAAAGGAAACTACAGAAAGCATATTGAATCATGTGACACAGCTCTTGTTGATAAACAATGAAACTTGCTCATATTTATGTCAAACCAATTCATCGATCCCACGTCTGTTATATTACACGTACTAAAGAAATTGTTCACGACTTTTGTTAGGCCAAAGCTAGAATATGCAGCAGTTGTGTGGTGCCCATATCTTAAAAAGCACATCAACAAACTGGAAAAGGTGCAAAGACATGCTACTAAGTGGCTCCCAGAACTGAAGGGCAAGAGCTACGAGGAGAGGTTAGAGGCATTAAATATGCCAAAACTAGAAGACAGAAGAAAAAGAGGTGATATGATCACTACATACAAAATAGTAACAGGAATTGATAAAATCAATAGGGAAGATTTCCTGAGACCTGGATCTTTAAGAACAAGAGGTCATAGATATAAACTAGCTAAACACAGATGCCGAAGAAATATAAGAAAATTCACTTTCGCAAACGGAGTGGTAGACGGTTGGAACAAGTTAGGGGAGAAGGTGGTGGAGGCCAAGACCGTCAGTAGTTTCAAAGCGTTATATGACAAAGAGTGCTGGGAAGACGGGACACCACGAGCGTAGCTCTCATCCTGTAACTACACTTAGGTAACACTTAGGTAATTACGGTAATTTATCTCCAAACCAGTATTTTCCCAGGTATGTTCTAAATCTAAATTTCTCCAAATTTGTATTTGTGTTCAATTGGTTTGTGTTCAATTTCATGTACAGCTGGCTTTGTTTTTTTTTACTGACAATCTGGAATCTTTGGTTCCATTCCTGTTCAGAACAGAAATAGTTGGGCACATTTCCTTTCATCTAATGCCACTGTTCACCTAACTGTAAATAGGTACCAAAGAGTTGGGTAATTGTTGTGGGGTTGCATCCTGGGGCTGTAGGGGGTTGGGAGGTTCAGCAGTTCAACCTTGGGAGACCCTAGTGCAAACCTAACGTATGTTAATATGCAGGCTTCCCATTCCCAACAAAACAAATTATTAATTATTATTATTATTATTATTATTATGTCACTTTACTAATACAGTTTCCCTTCAGAATCTGGATGGTGAAATATAATATGGTAGCAAATTGATAGACGAGGGGGAGTGTTAGAGAACAAATACAACACAGGCACAATAAGTTACAAACCTTCATCACTGTGATAACAGGCAATAGTTGAAACTCTACCATTAACCATAGGAGTACTACGAGCCACCATCTTAGAACCTCTATTATTTCTTATATATCAATACTTGCCAAATGTTTCTTAACTCTCTTCAACCTATACTACTTGCTGACGATACTACCTTCATCTGTTCAAATCCCAACCCACACACACTAAATAATATTGTAAATAATAAAATAAAAAAAATTCACTCATGGTTGTCAACCAACAAACTCATGCTAAACACAGAAAAGACCTACTGTATTTTATATGAAAGGAAACCATCAAACTACATTCATCTTCAGATAGACAATGCAACATTAATAGCAAAAAGGGGGGGAAAGTTTCTTGGCCTAAACATAGACAAGAAACTTGAGTTCAGTAATCGCACACAACACATAACCAATAAAGTCTCTAGAACTGTTGGTTTACTCTCAAAAATCAGATATTATATTCCCTGCTCTGCTCTCCATTCACTTTACTACTTGCTAATCTATACCTTTCTAACATATGGTATCTGTGCATGAGGTTCAACCACTGCAAACTAAATCAAGCCCATCATTGCTCAGCAAAAATCTGCTATCAGAATTATAACAAACTATGTTACAAACTATGTGCCTCATAGAATTCCATGTACTCAGGTACGATGAAAATGAGGACCTTAAACATAATACTGTACAGGGTACAAAACACAATCAAATGTACCCATAGTAGGAAAACAGCATGTAAAGGATTTGGGAATAATGATGTCTGACGACCTGACGTTTAGGGAGCATAACCAAGCAAATATTGCATCAGCCAGAAAAAATGATCGGATGGATTACAAGAACTTTCAAATCCAGGGATCCCATCACAATGGTTGTACTCTTCAAGTCACTTGTGTTGTCCCATCTTGAGTACTGCTCAGTACTCACTTTCCCTTCAGAGCAGGGGAAATTCCTGAAATAGAGGGAATACAGAGAACATATACAGCACGCACTGATGCGATAAAGCACCTAAATTATTGGGATTGTCTCAAAGCCCTCCAAATGTACTCACTAGAAAGTAGACGAGAGAGATATCAAATAATATACACATGGAAGATACTGAAAGGGCCAAGTACCAAATCAACACAGTAAAATAACAATGTACTGGAGTGAACAATATGGAAGAAAATGCAGAATAGAACCAGTGAAGAGCATGGGTGCCATAGACACAGAGAACACTGTATAAACATCAGAGGTCCACGGTTGTTCAACACCCTCCCAGCGAGCATAAGAAATATTGCCGGAACAACTGTGGATATCTTCAAAAGAAAACTAGATAATTTTCTCCAAGGAGCGCCGGACCAACTGGGCTGTAGTGGGTATGTGGGCCTGCGGGCCGCTCCAAGCAACAGCCTAGTGGACCAAACTCTCACAAGTCAAGCTTGGTCTCGGGCCAAGCTTGGGGAGTAGAAGAACTCCCAGAACCTCATCAACCAGGTATGTCTTCAGGCAACTCACAGTCCCTCTGTTTAAATCCCTAAACATGCTAAACATAAACTCATTCCACACATTCTCTTGTGCTATTTACATCTATTTATTTATTTATTTATTTATTTATATACAAGAAGATACATTGGATTTATGAGAGTACAGTATATGAGTTACAGTATATGAGTTATGGCATTAATGTTTTTACATTCTTTTAAAACCACTAGCATGCATAGCATTTTGGGTAGGTCCTTAACCCCCTAAATGCGCGGCCTCCAAATATGAACCCCCCCCCCCCGTTGTACAGGAAATAAAATCTCTGGAAAAAATTCTTTTCTGTTTTGAAAGTGTCAAAAATCCTTCCCTGAGTATGGGTATAGTAACAAAAGGTCGAAATTGTACATACTTTGGCTGCTATGGGGTCCTTAAATTTGTGCGTGACGTCATCATTCCCTGGTCGCCCGTGGCGTACGCCCCCGGGGCCGGTAGGGTGCTCAGGCAGTATGCGCGGGTTGCCGCGAATATATTTTTATTCATTTTCTGCGCACAGTTCCAAATACATTTTATATGCTTTTACGTGCGAATCCTATGTATAATGAGCATGTACACTATATTATGGCAGTAGAACATCCGTACTGTCCGAAGACAATGTGTTACTTGCATTACTCATGTGTACACATATCCGGCACATATTTCCATTGTATCATGCTAATTTATGTATATATACACACTATACACTATCACACACTATATGCATTCACCATGAACACACTCAGAACTTCGCGAGTGTCAGCTGCCACACCCTCACTCCTCCAACATCCAGTTTCTCCCTCACTCCTCCAACATCATACTCGCCAACATTGCTCCTCCCCCCATACTGTTATTGTTTGTATTACACTATTTACACATGTTATGTATACCTATCTACATGTTTTATTCACCAGAACTATGCAAGTAAGCCGGTATTGTGTCCAAACTTTACAGTGGCCACCATACACTGCATGAGAAATCACACAGCAGCCAGCAGACGACGCTACGATTACGTCACCTCTCTCACCAACATAGCTCCTCTCAACATACTCCTGTTGCTGTTATTACACTATATACACATTGTATATATCCATGTACAAATGTGTTCGCCATAGTGAACCACTAAGCTAGTATGATGAGCAAAACAAGAGTGGCTGCCCCACACACACACAGTGAGGCTACCTCGATTCTCTCCCTCGCTCCCTCACCACAATTCCAACTCCCACAATACTACGCACATATGTACATGGGTATATACACACATTGTATATACCCATGTACATATGTGTTCACCATAGTGAACCACTATGGTATGACTGGTATGATGAGTAAAACAAGAATGGCTGCCACACACACAGTGAGGCTACCTCGATTCTCTCCCTCCCTTCCTCACCACAATTCCTCCTCCCACAATGCTAGGCACAGTGCTTATTATCACCACAATCCTGCTGTTATCATAATACTGGTCACTAAATCCTGTAAATGAATAATTGATCACAAGTTTATTTTGTAAAGGAACCTAGGAAGTCGTTTCAAGATTCCTAGATGGACGAAATAATGCTGTGGTGCTGTGGCTAGCGCTGTGAATATCATGAACATCATTGAATGACTGATATTTGAACATTGTACACAGTCATTATCACACTCAGGCTCTTCTGTAATACTATCATGGCTAAATAATACAAGTTATATATATATATTTTGACATTATTAGGCGATGCTGCGGTCACAAGCGGAACAGCAGTGCTGTGAGCTCATGCTGTGTGTGTCAGCCTTAGTTGCTCACTCAGTACTGAGGCTCTCACACCCGGGAATGTGGCTCACGATATTTTTTAAAGATGGCGTCCGTCTACAAGAGCCCTGAGGAAGCTGATATGAACCCCATGTAGCCGCGGGAGTTTCCCATTC